ACGCAAGCAGTTTCACTGCTCAAAGCATGCCCGTATGCGCACATTAGACTTTAGATTTCTCGCCTTGGTGCATTCTTATTGACTGATGCTTGAATGGCACTGAGGTCGGAGTCTTTCCTTTCTGTAATGTTTGAGCATATGCAGCCATTTCCCCAGTAGTTTGGCGATGCATATACCATGGCAGTTGGTAGCGGCTGCTTTAGGCATCGTTCATTCTACTGTTGAAGTAGTGAGAGGCATGTTTTCCTTACGCCAGTGCGACGCCAGTGCGACGCCACGATGGCGGGCGTCGCGCGCTACACGTATGAGGCATATTTCTAATTGCGAAAGTGATTTCATTGCGGCCAATCAAATCAAACCTTCTAATGTGAGCTTCAACCAATCACGTCAAACCTGCAAGTCTCAACCAAACCTTCCTGTGTTTTGGGACAAGACTGACGTGCAGGTTATGCGTATATGAATGCTGCGGTTGATCCTATGTAAGGCACGTGAGTGCCGAATAGCTCGTGGGAAAGCGGAAAGGACGGAGGAAATTCACGAGCAGCTACTGAAGGAACTAAAGTAGGAAGTGGAGGCTGTATTTAAGCTTAATACAAACAACACTTAACACTACCTATTCACTTTGTTGGCTGCCATCCGAACGATAGGTTTCTACTGTGGTCCACGCCAATGTCGCCCATTTCCGAAGCCAACGCGTAGATGTTCTCCTTGTTCTTCCTCATACAAGACAACAGCTCCATCTGAGCTCGTAGTATCTTCTCCAGACTCGTGCCGATCTTATCTAGCTTGTTCGTCATGCCCATAAGCTCACCAACTCGTGCGCGCACTAACTCACGCACCAGTGACCTTCTGTCCATCGGAGCGCTGTGTTGGAATCTTTGCGAAATATGTGAAACACTAAGAATGTGTACCACACGGAAACTACGTAGTAAACACACTAATATTTTTAGATACATGCACGTAATGTGGTTAACATATCACTACATTTAGGCTACGCTCGTACGTTGTCGCGTTATTTATTGGTGATATTGATGACGACGATGACGTGGCAATGTCATTTAACAAAAATTAAAAGAGAACATATGGTTTTGTGGTTACTTTAGGTCATAAGGTTGCGTTATTTCCTGTCATCTTGTCGTTTTGTGGACGCCTCTCTTTTGGGGAAAGTTCGACTTCGCCTCTCCCTGGTTAACGGCGCAATATTAAAGTCATCATATCCGCCCTACTACGAGCGGTTTCCAACCCAACATCAAGCTTTCCAGTGATCAACGGATTGTACATGGGGGGGGGGGCAGAAGGCCAACAGCTTAAAGAAGCGTCACCAAGCGTTCATAACATTGCTGTGTTGTTGAGTGCACATTCTGAATGCACACAATGTACACAGTCCTCGCCTTCCATTTTCTGCTTCGCGGTGTCCGCAACCTCCATTTCCGCTACCAAGCGCTTGGGTACCTGCGAGCAGGAACAATTACCCAGGAATATGCTAGGCTGGTAAGACCGATGCGCGCGGATCGACGCTATCGATCATAATACACGTTTTTATGTCAGTGTCGAAAGGCGTCAGGTCCAGTGAGAGATGGAAGAATGGTTGTAATGAAGTTATGGGGTGATTGTTCAAGAATGAACGGTAATTACTTTTTATATCTGCTGATTTGAGAATCTAATACTCTCTCAAATCTATTGCAATTTATCCCTTCAAAACCTACTGTATAGTGTATGTATTCGTGTTTCCATAAAATAAAACGCATTGAATACGGTTCGTGTAATCCCGTTGAGCTGTCAAAGTTTGATCATTGGTCGTTCGTGAATAGCAAGTACACTTTCTTTAAAAAAAAATGCTCTGAGGTTTGTTTTTACCTTAAAACGCTTTTACCTACACCACACATTGGTTTCAGATAGGGACCATATACAAAAATCATGAAAAATTTAGGCTCCGATCAATTAGCACGCTGTTGTTTTCGTGTATTCAATACTAAGTACGCTGATACAATCTAAAATATAAATAATGCTGAGCAAGGGCAGCTTAAAGAATGCGTGCAGGAGCCCCTGAGTCCATTGTACGCTCGTAGGGTAGGATAAATATTCGTTAAATGTTGTCAACTCACACACTCATGATCGGCCGAATCGCTTCATATTCGACGTCTGTACACTTGACTCCCCTAGGACCGTCAAAACTAACGAGTATTTCTTTCCACGACACAAAGTTGCCTACGCAGTACTTAGTCAAGAGATCCGTATATACACTGCTCGCATGCAATCTCAGGTTGCAAAACGGGTTACCCACCTGACCCATCGAAACCGCAATGATTCTTCTGTGGTAGACCCAAGCCCTCAGCAGATGTTCTAATCTGGTCTACAAGCGTGTCAGTGGCGACATCTTTGCCAGAACAAACGCCAGGCTCAACACGAGAGGCTTCTATACTGGAGTCTAGTACAAGAAAAAGATCCGTCGTGGAAGCCAATGGCTACGAAAGTTCTGAAAAATGCACACAGAGAGGTATACATCACGATGCACGGCACCATCAATGACAACACCGAAGCACGACCAGCAACCAAGCATTTAGTCTTGGTTTAGTGCCACCAAAAGGCGACGACGAGGTAATGCTCTGTGGCGCCCCAGTACTCGAAGATACAGCAAAATCAACCTATGCGAAAATGTTCACTCTTTGTTGCAATAGTGGTTGAAGCTTTGCGTTCACTGGGCTTCGGTGGCGTTGCACCAGTGTATCGATGGTGGAATGATTGAAGAGGCCATGACAGACTGCTGCTGGTTCGTCGAAATGGGG